CGTGGCATAGAGGTTAAGGTGATGGCCTATCCTTCAACGGTCCCGGGTTCGAAACCGGGTAGCGACGGAAACATTTTCTTCTCTAAAATTGTCTCCTTTCACCTCCTTGACCTCCGGCAATGTTCTGTCGTCTGCACTCGTCTCCACTTTCTGCCCCACCCCCTCACCTCCTTTGCCTCCTCCTCTGGGCTCCTGACTCGTTCTGCAGCCTTTCTATTGCTACTCCTTGGCTCCTTCTTACTGCTGTCTTTCAGCCACACCCCTGATCTTCTGGTAAGAAAGATCTAAGACCTGGCCTTCTCAGATAAGAGTGAAAAATCTCGGAGGCCCCGTGTGCAAGTTGTGCACGTTAAAGATCCCTTGGTGGTCTAAAATCGATACGAGTAGGCTTCGGCCGCGACCAGGGCAAAATTACAAATTTCCTACGATCTTCAAATGTTTAAAGTGTCCCGCATGCTAATATGACCTTATGCAGCTGAAAGCACCGTAAAACACTTATAAAACAACAACAACAACAAACACCCCCCCGCACTCCTCTAACAAGGGAATCTCTCTACTCAGTCATACTAGTAAGATTATCAAAGATACCGGAACAAAAGACAATGCCACTGCGTGAAATACAACTTGGCTGAGTACACTTTAGATTTAGACAAAGGAAATCTTGCACAAAAGCAATGTTCGCACTCAGACAAAACAGTGAAAAGGCAACAGAATAACAAGAACAGAACACTGTCTTTGCCGACTGAAGAAAAAGCCTTCGACATTCCCAAGACAAACTGTGGACACTGCTGGAAGAATACGGGATCAGAAGACTTAACTACTTTTACAGCATCACAACGTTTTATGACAACAAACCAAGCCAAAAACAAAAGTACAGCAAAGATATCACAAGAAAAAACTCATTGTTCCTTGGTAAGATCAGGCGTGAGGCGAGGATGTGAGCTATCACCTTTACTTTATAACATACTATACGGATAAAATAACAGCTGAAGCTAAACCAGATGATAACACAATCAGCGAGCTTCTTTTTGCTGATGATTAGAGCACACTGAGCTACAATAAGAAGACCCCACAAGAACTCGTTAACAAACAGAACGAAGGTTGCAAAGATACTAAAATGAAGAACAACACAAACAAAATCGAAGCGATGAACAAGAGCAAAACATCAGACCCTCTAAATATCACAACCGAAAACAACAAAATCAAGCAGTTAAAAGAGTTCAAATATGAGGGAAGTATGTTCATCCAAGATGGAAAGATGGACAGAGAAACAGAAACCAGAATAAAAAGAAATATGATGTGACTTACTAACTGGGACCCTTTTCACTGTCACAACCCAACACAACATTGGAAACAAAGCGCCAACGCATTAACAGCATTTCCTTACCAACCCTGTGTCACTAGCCGAAACTTGGACAATAAAGAAGAGTCCCCAAAGTAAAAATAAATGCATATGAAATGTTTTAGTTTTTAGAGTTAGTAAGAGTTTTACGGCACTTGCAACACAATAAGATCATATAAGTGCCGAGGATTAGAAGTGTTACAAAAGCGTATCAAACACAAACGAGATGGAGATAAGATAAGGACGACTGTTGTTCGATAAGAAAAAAGGAGCAAAACACACCAGAGGACCCACCGACCACCTGCACTTGTGATGTGAGATGCCAAAAAAAACCCCACCTTTGCACATGACAAGAAAAGACAGGATGAGAAAACCTTGTACATCACAAGAAGAGACAGAATGAGAAAACGTTGTACATGACAAAAAGAGACAGGATGAGAAACGAGATTGTCAGATAACAAGTTGGCCAAACTCCTTGGTTGGTGCTTAGAGTACATAGATAAACAACAAATAAAATCAATAGTTTGGACATCTGTCAAAACTAGCACCAGACAGCGAGAGTAAACAGCCAGCCTTACGCAGTTGCGAGCTCCTTAAAACCCTATACTACTAACTAACTAACTAAACAGCCAGGGAAAAGATGGATAGAGAGGAAGAGGCAAGCCCAGGAAACTATAAATGGACAGGGTCAGAGAGACATTAGCAAAAACAACACGACAATGCAACAGGCGATACAACAAACAAGAGTAAGACGTTTGCTTTTCTCCTCGATAGCGTAAGGTAAAAGACGTATCCGGGGTTCTTTTTTTGTGTGCAAGTAGTCATAACATTAAAACACATATGTCTTTTGGGAAGTAGTGTGCTCCTACCTGCTTGTCAAGGAAAGTGGGATACAACATCCACGGAGAACGTCTTGACAAAATATGTCACGATAAAAGTGTGGAATCGGGCGCTCGTCATTTTGTGAGCGTGGTGAGTTCTTGGTATCGCCCTAAATCTTATTATTTGCCATGTTTTCGGTAAAATCCAAACACCAGTCTATCTTGGATATAGGTCGAGATATTTGCGATTGGAGGCGGTTGGGGTTGCTAGGAAGCAAAAGCTTGAGAGCCTATTTTTTGTGTCTCTGATCAACGTTTTTCAGTAAAATCTATACAGAAATATGTTTTTAGATTGTGGACATTAAAGGTGTTGTGCCACCCCCCCCCCAAAACAAACAAACAAACAAAACAAAAAAACCAACAACAACAAACAAACAAACGAACAACAACAAATACAAAAAAAACCCCCAAACAAACCCACAACAAAACAACAACAAACATTACAAAACAAAACAAAAAACAAAAAAAAACAAAAAAACCTTGGGGGAAAAACTGCCCAAGCAGACGGAAAAATGCCAGTTTCTTCGAATTCATTACTTTGACGAGCGCCTGATTTCATCACTTCGCCTCACAATTAATGGACTTCATCACGTGTAAAAAAAAGATTCAGGTCTCCTGAGAGCAGCAGGGAGTAGCCTGTCCTCTCCAAGACTGACTGACTGACTGACTGACGCCGGTTAATAGACTGTTACTATTTCAATGAACGGCCAAGAGAACAGGCTATTTACAACTTAACCTTAACTGAACGTCATGGACACAACACCCGTTCATCTGGCCTTGCCAAGATGACCCTGCAAGGCAGCGTCAAGGGAAGAAGGAGCAGAGGCAGACCGAAGAAGAGAAGAGTTGGGAGGACAACATCAAAGAATGGACAAGCCTGGACCTCAAAGACACGCTCAGGTATGCTGAAGACTGGAAGGAGTGGAGGAAGCTGGTGGTCAAATCTTCAAAAGTGCCGCGATGGACATCCAGTCTACGGGATAGGTGAAGGTGAAGTGAAGGCGTATACGAAAACGAAGAGGACAAAAAACGAAAACAGACCACCAAACTGAGTTGGAAACTGTATGGCTCTTTTCGTCTATGCAGACGGTCAATTTAGCTTAAGATGGTCTCAATGTAAGCTTCAAGCAGCTTCTTTCATGGCTAATTCTTCCTGTGTTTGAAGTGCAGATTCTGTCGCAGTGCTTGCATGTCAGGGACGTGGATCGAAGCTCTGTATTTCCGCTATTTTCCTTCCGTCGTTGGCACTTCTCCGCAGCCTGGTTGTTTCTAAAGCTGCTCTCTAGCATTATAATTCTTTCCTTTATCGTTTTCCTCCAAACTGTATTGGAAGCCCAGAACAAATCAATAGAGTCTCACCATTACAATCACTCTCATCACTGCCATCGGCACAGTCACGCTCCCCGTCACATTTCCATCTTTGGTCAATACACTGTCCATCCGAGCATTGGAATTCTTCGCATTGCCGATCTGTGTACAAGAAATAATATATCAATAATAATAAAAAATCATCATCATCATCATCATCATCATCATCATCATCATCATCATCATCATCATCATCATCATCATCATCATCATCATCACCATATGTAGCCTTTGTTTGGTGAAAAGCCTCGCTCCAAAGCAAGCTCTATGCGCTTTACACTATATTATTGTCCAAGCAGACCATAGAAAACTCCCGGAAACACTGACAAAATGGCAAGATTTTTCACTGTCTATAGCAAATAAATAGAAAGAAGCATCATCAGCTCATTTTCAAGTGAGATGACAATGCCGTTAACAAGGTTGGGCTGACGTAATTACATTTTTTTCTGCCATTCTGTTATTAGAATGTATATTAATTAACCTTATGTGATGGAAACCATTTTTGTTTTGTCTTTAGATAACTGACAGTATAAAGGGAAACTGTGAGGCAGAAACGATACTAATCTTAGAAAACAAAGCAGTTCTATTACCTTGTTCAGTTCCTTTTACACACACACACACACACACACACACACACACACACATACACACACACAGACACCCACACAAACACACACACA